TGTCCTCCAGCCGTTGGAAGCGGAGCGATGGGGTGTGAAGACAGAGACGGGGGGGTGGACAGATGTGACAGTGGGGGGGGCTGCCGCCTTGGAGGGAATTCTGCTTCGAGGACTGACTCCTTCCTTTCTCTTTAACAAGCGCTACCAGCATGGGCCTTTGTCCCACTCCATTCTCCAAGCAGCTCAGCTACAGAATAAAGCAACAAAGCTTACAGTGCCAACAGACAGGGGAAAAGGATAATGACTATGGGGACAAAGTTGGGGAGGAAAAGCCTGCAGGAAGGGCATGAACTCAGAGCTGTACAAGTGTCTCGTTCTATCCTTGCTCTGGTCTGCCTGGTCTCTCCATTTCAACGTCTGTACCTATGGCCTTTGTCTCTTCTGCTAGGTTTTCCTCCTAGTTTTTTCCTTCTTCCTGTAACTGTTCTTCTTTTTTTCCTGCATGGATTTGCTTTCTGGCAACACCAAACCACATGGTGGACATGGTAGCATCAGTGTATGATTCCTTTGTAGTGAGCAAGGAAAAGAAATTTGCTCTCCTGGTTTTAATAAGCAAAAGGAGTCAAGCTGCTGTCATGCTAACTCTGTCTCGCTTCAGTTCCTCTGCACTAGTTGTTTGTGCATTTCCCAATCTTCCTTGCTGGAATAATGCGCATAGCTCAGTTGAGATGGCTTAAGCGCTGTCACCTCTCTGCAGTGAGGAAGGACTTGTACATCAGCGTGCGTCTTGCACTGAGGCAGCCCTGTCCCTGGTGTGAGTGGTTGCTCAGGTGATGAACCCGTTGCATGAGTCTTTCTCTTCCCCTCAGTTTTAGGTTGCACAGCTGTGAAGAGCTTTGCCTTGAGATCCTTAGAGTAGTGACGTTTTGGATGGAGCGATGGTTGCTCTGTGGAGGGCAGCTACACTCCAGCCCTTAAAAATGGAAGCCATAGCTCAAATCAAGTGTTAAGTTGAGCTGAGAGGCAGAGAAGTGTGCAGAACAGCAGTATCATGTATCCTCAAGTCTCCCTGGTTTCTAGTAGATGGATATAGTTTTCTCTGCTCCAGTGGAATCTGCTTTAGGGCAGTTCTGTTAAACATCATCCAGCTTCCTGTCATTCCCCAACTGTTGTTTTATGGGCAACAGTTACTAAATCTGACATAGGAGTCATGGGACTGGTACATTCAGAAAGCACAGTGAATTACAGAAAAGGAACTGAAACTTAAAATTTAAAGTTGGGTAAGCGAACACCTGTCCTGGTTTCAGCTGGGATAGAGTTAATTTTCTTCACAGAAGCTAGCGTGAGGCTGCATTTTGGATTTGGGATGAAATATGTTGATAACGTGCTGATGTTTTCAGCTGTTGTTAAGCAGTCAAGGACTGTCCAGCGAGAAGGCTGGGGATGCACAGGAAGCTGGGAGGGGACACAGCCAGGACAGCTGACCCAGGCTGGCCACAGAGATATTCCATCCCATATGATGTCATGCTCGGTATATAAAGCTGGGGCAAATAAGAAGGAGGTGGGGGGGGATGACGTTCAGAGTTATGGCGTCTGTCTTCCCAAGTAACCATTA